AGAGCTTTTTTTGGCTACCTCAATCCCCGACATAGAAGGACCCTATAACCATCGTAGGAAGAGGAGTCTCGCAGGGCCGCCATTATAGAGATGGGGTTCTCCACGTTCCCTGACTAAATTCACAGATTTTTTTCTGGGAGCGGCTTCCCGGCAGCGCATGAAAGCAGGATGCTACAGTTGATACTACAAAAACTTGCATGACCTTGATAGACTGTCGTACCATAAGTATCGAGGTACTAGGCGTTGCGGGTCATGCAGGATGTTTTGTATCCATTGTATCTATTAGGCACTGCCCCTACCCATCTACTGTAGGGGCCTCAAGAATCAGCATAGGTTTGGGTCAAATCTTTCTGAGGTTAAAGAACGTCTGCATGGGAATTCTACTATTCATTACTCAGGCTTCTGTAAATGCGAGGTAGGTACATTGCGAAACACTAGCGTTATCTGTGCTAGCCGTCATAAGCGTCTCTATGAGAGTACCTGGTTGTTAATTGGGATTTTTCATCGCCTAGGTCTTTGATAGGGGCAACACTGAGTGTTACCACGTATCTATGTTGAGGACTGCGTGAGAGCAATACTCAAGCACGTTTTGCAGGCACTGTAACGGTCCTGTTGATGGGCAATGTCCCGCATCACAGCAAGTGTACTATGTTACCCAAATTCCTCGAGGCTTGGTATATATATATATATATTAGGAGGACCCCCCACCCTGTAATAGTGGTATAGTAGGAATATAAGAGGACCCTAATATTATCCCTGTTATCCATTATATAGTCACTATTACTGGGTAGGGGGTCCACCTAATATATACATCATACAGGCTTTTATCAATCCACCGTACTTCTGTCAGCAGGACGCAGCTGCGCTTCATCTAAGGTCACGCAAGTGTCTGCCTGTACGTGGACCCGGCGCGCTTAAAACCCTAAAGGAGGCGGAGGGATTTTGTGTTTTTGTTTTCCGGGTTTGGCGCGACCTTCTTCTGGTAGGGCCCGTTTTTAAGCCGGAATGCGAGGATGCTCCACGCTGAGGCTCCATTTTGAAAACGATGAGAGGACTCTTAGCGCAAGAGCTCCATTGCAAGAAAAACGTGTCAAAACATTTCACATTCACATGCGAGCGTGCTTTTCGGTGAAACTACGCAGACGCTCCACAAGCGAGAGCGCGATTTCTCAGGAACAAATCCTCAAACCTCATTCCCTAAACCCCAGTCTCTCCTTGTGCATATACCTCTCTAACCCCCTTTAAGGGATAAGCTACCGTACCCATTCATTCATTCCCAAATGCTCAAGGTTGCTCAATGGGATACACCGGGGTCCAGAGGTACCTGCATCAGAAACCATAGGAACCGTTTAAGGTCCCAAGCGTGTCCCAGACAGGTACCTGGAGCCTCTGAGATAGATCCGCAGCCCTAACCCCTTAACCCTAAACCTTTCGGGTTGAGGGTTCAGAGCCCCAAATCCCAAACCCTGAGCCGTAGAATTGCTTAGGGTCCAGGTTGCTCAGCTTACAACTCTAATAGCTCAACATGGTCCTATTTAAAAAAGCGTCGGGTTCCTAAAACAAACGATAAACCAGAACCCTAGAAACCTATAAGCCTTAGAATCTCTAACCTAGACCTTCAAGTATGCCGAGGAACCAATTATATAGGACCATCAAGCTGGTAATGACTCCCCTCGACCCTGGACCTTTTGTTAGATCCCTAAACCCTACATGATACCCCAAAAGCCTGTATGAGCTATATAGCCTACACTCCTAGTATTTCCCTTAGTAACCCTAATAATACTTCCCCTATATATCCCCCTTTAAGGAGTTTAGACTAGAGCACATGTTATTTATGCACCTTATCAACTCAAAGCGCAGGCCTAAATCCTGCCGCGAGCGCTTGGATTCCTCGGACAGAGCGGCCTTGGCTTTGGAGACCTGACATGGAGGCGAATCCTACTGGTTGTGAGTAGGGAAGAAGGGGGGTTTAGGGTTTAGGGCTTATGGGCAATATAGGGAAGTTTAGAGTTTATAGGGAATAAGGAAGGGCTAGGGTTTAGGGTTTATGGGGAATAAGGAAAGGTTAGGGTTTAGGGTTTAGCATTGCTTTGTCCACTCCTCTTCTTAGGGCTTAGGATTTAGGCTTTTGAGATTTAGGGTTCAGACTCATTCCTAATGATTGTAGTACCCTCAACGACAAATGGAAACTTATATGGAAACCCGAAACCCCTAAACTCTCTAACACCCTAAACCCTAAACCCGGGCCTATGTGGATCCATAGGATTTAGGGTTGCAGGTTGACTTTCTGGTTGGTCGTAGAATGAGGAGGCATGGGAAAAGACAACTAAAGCTGCTTTAGGGTTTAGGGCTCAAAGTTCCGGATCTAGGACTTAGGCCTAAACCCTCAACCCTAAAACCCTAACCCCAAAAGAAACGGTTTTGCGTGGGTCAAGGCTTCTGGGTTCTCAGGATCAAGGGTACCCAGATGCAGGACATGGGGCACTGTGTGGCTTCCCTGAGCCACTCTCATTCCCTGGACTTCACATGTAGGGTTTAGGGCCTAGGGTTAAGGATTTCCCGTGAAGATCTTACTTAAAAAGTGTGGTTCTCAATATGTTTCGGATCTTGTGGTTAAACCAGTGTTGAACGTGCGGGGGAATGAGTTAGTAAGCAGGTTCATCACTGCTATGAGCCATGCAATAACCCCGTTAGCCTCATTATTAACCTACTTCCTAAGTCTCCCCCAACACCCTAAACACTAAACCTAAACCCTAATCCCTAAACCCTAAACTTAAACCCTAAAGCCTCCAAGCGGGTCCAGGTCAAATCTTGCTCACCCCAAAGTACGAACCCAAGAATGATCGCGCAATGCAGCCATGAACAACTTCCTAAACAGGTCCTTGCAGCTTGCTGCCCCAAACCCGGATGTAGAGCACCAGACCCCCAATATTTACATTATCCCTGAGTTCCAAAACCTAGGGGCATCCTCTTCCAGCTTGAGAGACGCAAACTATAGGGTGTAAGGTTTAGAAGAAAAAGTCTGAAGCTGCATGCATGTACGCCAATACTCCAAGCTGGCCTCCATGACCAGCAGATCCAACATCCTTGCGCTTGTCACGCCTACGCCATCAACCTGAACCCTTGTCAAAGGAGGAGGAGGAGGACCCCGGAGGCTAAACCCCCTACACACCATGTTGAATGAGGGGATTTTGGTTACTTACCCCAACCATCCCCAACCCCTACTGTATAATGAGGCCCCTATAACTCTATAACTACCTGGACCCTGATGATCCTTCATTTTAATGGTGCATGGGAAATAATCTGTCTTCTATTTCAAAATCCTGGCTTTGGGCCCTAAAACCCTATTAGTTGGGTCCCTGGGCCGTTAGGGAAGACGGGGTACTTAAATTTCACCCCCAGAGACCGACCTCCGACATGGCGACATCGATGCGATGATGCACGGGGCGCAGCGCCGTCTCGCACGACCTTTCCACAGCTCTGGGGACTTGAGTAGTTGACTCTCTGCTGACTATGACTATGGCCTTTGGGCACTTGATCTTAACAACAGACCGTGAAGTATCACCAGACTCAAAAAAGCAAAAGCACTCACCAGACTTATGGTGAACAGCGAGCTTGAGCAGTGCGTCACATCAACAAGTGCATAAAAAGAACTGCAAGAAACCTCATAATGCTTTTCTGAAATGCCAAACGACACGAGAAACGTGTTCGCCTCTGGCAGGGCTAGGGGAACTTGAGCCTGGCGTTCTTGATATAGATATTTTTTAGGCTCCGCGCAGCGAGGTGGAACAAGAGAATTGTTGAAAAGCTTTTGCTACGAATGCCGAAGGAATAAAGCAACCCAAGTGTCCTATTAATCGCCCCGCACCGCCACTCAGTACGATCAATAGTTATCTTTCACCTAGTACTGCGTTCCAATGGAAAACAAGGCTTGGAGAATGCCTTTATTCTACTCCGGATTGGGTTTTGAGCTGATCACTGCCCTTAATTCATGAACGAAATAGAAGCTTACATGAACTAATGTCAGATTTGCATGTGTCTGTTTGCACTAGCCCCCTCGCGGGTTGACCTACTAGTGGCTTCCACAAGAAACGCCCCAACAATATGAGGGGCTTTGTGCAACATACGCTGCACATGATTGAAATATCTGCGTTCGACCGTTCATTTCTGGGGTGTCTTTCCGCGGGGTTCACCGAAAACACTCATACAAAGTGGAACTCACCCATGCGCACGCCGAGCGTCTCCAGATACCTTGGCACAGACTGGTGTTGCAAACGCATCAAACTGAAAACTTGTGCGATAGTGACGAACACACCGGCACTTCGCTCTTAACATGTACACCAAAAGCCTGATCATGATGTCAATCAGAAAATGACTGGGCAACAACTCGTATTAAACTCTCGACCAATCCAAAGAGCTGAGCTTTGGTTCCAGGGCTCACCAGAGCCTCGCCAATGAGCCGCTGCACCTGTCTTTGCTCGACCCTGACCCCGCATTGCCATCATATGGAACCTTGCGAACCGTTCAAAATGCCTGCAAAACTTGAACCACATCGTCCGTCCTGGAAACTCGAAAGCAGATGGACTGAAGCTTGGGGTAACTAATGGCTACCATTTCTCTTCAATAAGCTACTACGCGCACGTGTACTTGCGGATTCGTCATCTACGCGTTCATACTGTTGTTGCTGCGCACGTCGCTTCCCTGCAAGAAGGCTCATACTCGCTCAGGTCTGTCCCAAAGGGTCCATGTAGGTATATGGTATATACTCAGGGCCCAAAGAGGTTCCCATATACCTACTTTAAGGCCCAAGTATACCCCATATAGCTACATGGACCCTTAGTTTCCATTTTCTTTTCCATTACCCCAATATAATCCCAATATATAACCTATGGTACTGTAGTAGTTTCCATTTTCTTTTCCATTCTCCCAAGAAAAAAACTCTAAATCCTAAACTCTAAACCCTAAACCCTATCATATAGCTACATGGACCCTTTTGGGTGTTACATGCAGCGCAGCCAGGCCTCGCTCTCGCCCAGCGGTCTCTCGCCACCCATCGGCCGGGGCACGGCATCAAGCCGCTGTATCCTGGGTTGCTGTTAAGGATTCCTTAGGGTTTAGGGTTTAGGGTTTAGGGTTGCTGTTAAGGAACTTAAATTAAGTTACCATAATGGGTATATAATGGAGAATCAAATGGAAAATACAATGGAAAATGAAATGGAAACTGG